TGAAGATAAGCAGTCCTGTTACTGAAGGCGTCTTCCCAAGAGGCACTTGGCAGACAATGCATTGCCTGATAATTGACTTCATGTAACGGGAACTGGAAGTTTTAGCCAACTGACTTTCGTACCAATTGAGATGTCAGACAGCAGTATGACAAAACTGTCCCAGCAACAGTCTGACAGTCACCTGTACATCCAATGCAATGGAACAAAACAACATTTTGGAAACTTGTTCTGCCTCCTCCAGCTCTCACCAACAAGGAATGCCTGCTCATTCCTCAACCACTTCAACTTCCAGTGCAAAATCGTGTTTCTTAATGGTTTAGGGGCTACCACACCAAATTCAGAAACGGAGGGCTGCAGTGCAGTGCAAGCACATGGTTTCCTTGCCAGCTTTGCTACAGAAGCAGTAGCCATCAGCAGAGAAGACAGCTTCTACTGTCTTAAAATGTCATCCCAAAACAGCTGTGCAGCAGAACTATCACAGCAAGGCAAAGTCAGCATCGGTATTAGACTCTAAACAGAAAGCTTTTTCTGTTCTCCAAAGATCTAACTCAGAGCTTTAACATGGAAAATTTTACTCAATTGAAACTGTCAGTGTTTAATACTTCAGAAATTCAACATTATATTTAAAGGTTTTTTTACCATATTATTTAGATGCAAGTTAATTTATCAACCCCCCGGGGGTAAAGAAAAGCATAAAATTGTCAAGGTACACTTTAAACCTACTTATATACACCAGAAGGACAGAGAATAACATGATTAATACCATTTAGATTTTAGGCAGCATTGTCCCAGATGGACTGAGAATGTAATGAATACAAGGTATTTTCATGTAGAAACAGATCAAACAACATTTTATTTAAAGGAAGTTTGTGTTGAGCAAAAATAAATCAGTGCTTCATAGGGTACCAAGGAGTTCACCAAGGAGGTTAGGCTTTCCATTGAGAGAAGGATGGAAGAAATGGATGGAGAACATGGCAAAACATCACAAAACCATGAGCATGCATTGAAGGTAAATTTCAGAAGAACCTCAAGAAAAAAAAGAAAAAAGTATTATGCACCATCAAAAACTAAATATGGATTATATTCTTATTAGGAGTAACCTGCTCTTGTCAAGAGTAACCTGTGAAATAAGAGGCTGAAATGGATGAAAGAATGAAATGTAACAAAAATAAGTTGTCAAATTTTAAGTAACTCCATAATGGAGGGCTGACAATAAAGTTTCATGTCAGCCGCATGGGAAGAGGTTATTCACATGAGGTACAACAGAGAAAAGGCAAAAGGCAGAAAAGGCACCAGAGGTGTTGGTGGATCATGAAGTTTTTTCAAGCTTAACATGATATGCTGGTAGTACTCATCACCGGATTCTACAAATACAGGTTATAAACAGGTGACAATATCATAGGGCAGAGAAACTAGTCCAGAGAAAGGGGATTTGAAAGTATTATGGATTTATCAAATGTTCCTGTCAATGAAGTATAATGATAATATTCAGTTTTCTCATTACACTTACATTCACTTGTATGTATCTGTTCAATATAAAACAAAAAAAGTTTAGCTTTCTATTGCTCTATCCACTATTATGCCAGCTTTTGAATTAATGTAAGTTCATATATATGTCTTACGGCATCAATGGTACTATTTAACTGCAAAATACTATTTAGCCTGAACTTACAAACTAGATACAATACACAAGAGATAACAGAGAGTTTACACTATACAATTATAAACTATATACATTAAAGCACAGTGTATATACTCCACATATTTATATCAGCAAATACATACATATTTATCTATATTAATGATTATGCATCTCATAATGCAAAATGGCCTCACTCTGTGATTTGAAGGCTAGCAGGAAGTATTGAGCCTCACTTTGCAATCTGTTAAATTTCTTAGCCAAATGCTGGAGGCCTTGCTATGCTTTTACTATCTTTTCCTCTCCAGGCCACTAAAATGCTGAAGGTCATACCAGTCCATGCTTAGCAGCATTTGTTATATAGAAAGTATAATAAACAAATTAGTAGAAAGCACATTCCTATTCTGTAAATTCCCATTTGCTTTTTACTTTAAGCACATTTCTTTTGACAGTGGATTTACAGTCAACTTGCAACTTCCACATTGTGTTGTTTCTTTGGGAGTGATGACCCTTAAAATACAGACTCAGGACCACCCTTGCAATCCCTACTACCAAATTTCTTAAGGAAGTACAGATGCTAACTTCACATACCCACTGCAAATTATGTACATCTAAAAGTCATGCAGAAGCCAGTCTTCTAGTGTCTGTAATCACTATTCATTCAGTGGTTAGCAGCAGAAATATAGTGGGAAATGTTGGAAATATACTCTCCACTTATTTCCTGCAATATTTTTCCTTCCTTTTCATGCACACACATGTACATGCAAGTAAAAAAGCCAGTAAACAGCTCAATGAAAATCGTCTGTGCAGCCTTCCAAGGAACTGTGCAGGGATTTTCTGAAGTAGTCATTTTATTTGCCAGCAGAGGATTTTTTTCTGAGAGAGGTGAAAGGTAGAAGTGTTTGTATTATATAGCAGAATGACTGAATTGGGTCAGATAAGGTCAGCCAGCTCAGCCTTAACAGCGGTAATAATGAAGATGAGAGATGTGATTATTATTCAGATCGTAAGAAGAAACCATAGTAGTTCCAATTCTGTGAAGTTCAAAACACAGGTCAAAAATCAACAAACCATATGATTGTCTACAAATTCTTAAACTGCACTTTATTTCTTAAAATCTCATTGTGGACACTCATTCTTGAACCTTCAAGAAGATCTTACATACAAAAGAATGTATGCTCTGGAAATCTCTTCCCTTTCACTTCCAAGTATCTGTTTCCCTCACTTCCCCTATCTGAAATTCTTAGTGTCATCTTATATCATCAAGGTGCTCACAAGCTTTTTATTCTGAATACTCTCTCCAACTCATTTACTTCTAGACAGACCTTCCTTACCAGGCTGTTTGCATAGCTACTTTCCCACTATTTCCCTAAAGGGAACTCCTGTTTCCCTTCCAAAACACAGCTTCCACCATCCCCAGTGTAGAAAAATGCTCATGCTGATGAGCCCCTGCCCATCACTTCAGCAAGCTCACCTTCTGCTTGGATTTCTCCCCTTCAAAGAAGACAATGCAAAAATAACTTTCCTTCTGTGCCCTCAGAACCTCTCAGCCACATTGCTCTTGAAGCCTGCAGGCCCTATAGCACCTTTGCTATAACCTATGCTAAGGACATTGCTGTACTTTTTGTAAACTTTTTTGCTTTATATGACAAGTCACACAACCTTATTAGCATGCATGCTCTTCTATACACAAGTATATGGTATCAACATGATGACTATACCACAGATCCCATTCAACCACCTTAGTTTTGCCTTCCCAGATTACCCTCTGTTTTAGCAGATTACTGCTACTGCTACTGCTACTAATCAGTAGCAGCAGAATTATCTATTACTACAGATACTGTTTTAGCAGAATACTAATTATGGGCAATATAGGTTGCTCATCTTTCATGCAAAAATATACTTCTCTAATAGCGAGTCTGACAAATAAAGTGACTGAAAGAAAGTGTCAAAGTGTCATTGTTTAACCCCCGCCAGCAACTCAACTCCACGCAGCTGCTCACTCACAACCCCAACAACGGGATGGAAGATGTAATCAGAAAGGTAAAGTGAGAAAACTCATGGGTTGAGATGAAGACAATTTAACAGGTAAAGCAAAAGCTGTGCACACAAGCAAAGCAACTCAAGGAATTTGTTCACCACTTCTCACAAAAAGGACATGGAACTGTTGGAACAAGTCCAGAGAAGGGCCATGAGGATGATCAGGGGACTGGAGCACCTCCTGTATGAAGACAGCCTGAGGAAGTTGGGCTGTTCAGCCTGGAGAAGAGAAGGCTGCGTGGAGACCTCATAGCAGCCTTCCAGTATCTGAAGGGGGCCTATAGGGATGCTGGGGAGGGACTCTTCATTAGGGACTGTAGTGATAGGACAATGGGTAAGGGGTTAAAACTTAAACAGGGGAAGTTTAGGTTGGATATAAGAAGGAAATTCTTTCCTGTTAGGGTGGTGAGGCACTGGAATGGGTTGCCCAGGGAGGTTGTGAATGCTCCATCCCTGGCAGTGTTCAAGGCCAGGTTGGACGAGGCCTTGGGTAATATGATTTAGCGTAAGGTGTCCCTGCCCATGGCAGGGGGGTTGGAACTTGATGATCTTAAGGTCCTTTCCAACCCTAACGATTCTATGATTCTATGATTCTCATAGGCAGGCAGGTTTTCAGCTATCTCCAGGAAAGCAGGGCTCTGTCACACATAATAGTTACTTGGGAACAAAAATGGCATCACTCCCAACATCCCCTCCTTCATTCTTCTTCCCCCAGCTTTAAATGCTGAGCATGACATCACATGGTACAGGATGTTAGTTGGGGTCAGCTGTCCTAGCTGTGTCACCTCACAATTCCTTGTGCACTCCAAGCCTACTTGCTGGTGTGGTGGTGTGAGGAGCAGAAAAGGCCTTGACTTGGTGTAAGCACTGCTGAGCAGTAACAATAACATCCCTGTATTACCAACACTGTTTTCAGCACAAATCCCAAGCATAGGCCCATACCAGCTACTACGAAAAAACTTAACTCTAACCCAGCCAAAACCATCACAGTAAGCAACCCTGAAGGCAAAGAGATTTATAGCTTGCAGTGAAAAATACACTCACTTGCAGAAAAGCAAGTATTTCCTAACTCTTTTTAAACCAAATCAGAATGCAGTTTTAACTATGGATTGTGAGTAGTACATACAAAACCAACTCCTAAGAGAACATAAAGGTCTTAAAAATTTTCATACACCTTGATATTCCTTTGATATCTGAATTTGAATGTGTATTGCAAAATTTTTACCCTACAGGATGCATTAATTTATACAAATAACAAAAAGGGATACATAGAAAAAACTGATTTCTGCAAGTTCATCCAAAAAAAAGTCAGATTACGCACATTTCAGTAATGGTTTCTGGAAGGTTTGTGGGAATCTCAGTAAGGCCTTTCCCACGACAGTCCACAATGTTGTTACTGCAGGTACATGCAGTAGGGCAATGCAAGACACTGCAGGACGGAGCCATGAAGGACTGGTGACCTGCAAAGGAAAAGTTTTTCTCTTAAAATTGCATAATACTGTCAGTATTTCAGTTTACTTCAACAGTAAAACATCACATTTTCTACTTCTTTGAAAAATTTAAGTCAGAACTTCTAGAATAAACATTGTAGCCTATCAAGATTTTTGAATTGCATTAATTTAAATACCCAGTTGATAGCAACATGCTGATACAATACTGAGAGATAAAACACAAAGGCTCAACTACCGGGCTTTCATTACATCATTACTTCTTTTGCAACTTGCATTCAAAATCATCTTGTTAAAGGCTAACTATGATCCATTTGTCACATATATTTTATTTATTCTGTGTTTTTAAAACTAATTAATAATTTATTTAGTTTTCAAAATTTCATGTAGTATTAAAAATGCATGCCAACAGAAATGAATGAACTTTGCTACAGAAAAAATGAAGTCTTGCTAGTTATGTTTTATTTAGCAACTACTTATTTGAGTATAGTTCTTGAGTTACACATCACCTACAATTTTGGAGTTAAGACATTTTCGTTCACTGACACAAAATTAAACAAAAGCTTTGACTTCCCAGTTCATACTCTGTGTTGGCTCAGCAGACTTCTTCCTCCCACAATTTACCATTCTTACTAACTCAGGTGGCTAATTCACACATCTTCCCCCCCGCCTCCCAAGTTCTTGTGCTATATGTCAAACTCAGCATTTATAATAGCACTCAAACATAACAATTTCATACTTACGAAGGTTTTAGAAAGTAAACAACTTACTATCTCTTCTTGAAAGTAAATAGATTACACATTTTATGATATATTAATGCACTCATTCTTGTATTGATTTAATGATACAGAGTCGTTATTTTGAAATGATACAGAAAGGCACAAAGGGACGAAAAAGGCATGAAACCCTCTTTTTCTTTTTTTATTAAGGTAAAAAAGCTAGAGACTGTTTTGAAATTCTGAGGGGAAAAAAACCCTTTGTGACTATGTAACCACAACTGAATCTAAGCTCTCTCTCATTGTATTTAATGTCATATATAAATATAGCAAGGGTACGTTGATAATGTAAGTTGCAGCCACTGCTGTTCCTACTTGCAACTTCAAATAGCAACTTCTCAAGTTTTAAATTACTGAAAAGTTTAGTCTTTTAAGGCCAGGCTAGATGGGGCTTTGAGCAACCTGATCTAGTGGAAAGTGTCCCTGCCCACGGCAGGGGGGTTGAAACTCGATGATCCTTAAGGTCCCTTCCAACTCAAACTTATTCTATGAGATAGTGGTTTACAGTATAATAATTTGATTTCACATTTATGTATGTGTTACAAAAGTACAAACAGCTGCCATAATTAATGACACATACTACTTTTTTTGTATTAACAGGCAGGAAACATTTCACCTGCCTTTATTAAACAAAAACCCACAGAGAAAACATGGTTATCCTCTTACTAAAAATCAGCATTATAGTGAACAAGTTATAAAACAGTTCTTGACACTTGGGGTCTGCATTTACAAATAAAAGACATGAAGTGATCCTGTTAGGAGCCCTTTTAAGTGTACATAAAGGCAGAATTAACGGTAAGAACACTGTTAGCATTTACCATGTGATGATGGCAGTGCCTTACAATGTCAGGGGTTGTTTAAAGAAAAAACATTGTGCTCTCTGTAAAACTATTTTAAAAGCATAGATCTGGGCAAATTTTTGAATATTTGGCAATAGACTTCCGGGAGTCTGCAGAAAAACAAATAGTAGAAACAACCTGTTGAATCACTGACAAGCCATATTCCAGCTATTTTGAAACAGTAGACAAAGTTTACAGAAAATTTTTCAATCTGAGTCTAAAAATATTTGTATAAGAAAGAAAAACTTGCCTTCTTCCTCATCTAGAAGATATGAACAAAGGAAAAAAATTGAATAGAGAAAATGTGATTAGTAATGAACTGTTAGTCATTTCATTATCTTGTATCAGAAAATAACCTGATGCACTAAAGCATACCAATAACATTCAGAAAGTAACAGGGATTCAGAATATCATTCAAACTGCAGAAAATAGCAAGAAGAAAATGCAACAACATGTAAAGTTGAAAAAGAATAATTCCTTATTACTAAAGGCATTATGTTCTCAGCCAGTGAACCTTTTATTTCATATTCCTCATCTCTCCCCCATGATTATACTTTCAGGAAGCTATATAATCTGTGTGAATACAGCATTCACTCTGAATTTGTAAGGCCAGAAGCACACCTACACAAAATACAAATGGTGATAAAACTGATTAGCTTAATTTTCAATAAACGTTAATGCTTGGATTATGCAAAAGCTAGCAAAAGTCAACATGCAGCAGTAGCAATCACTGCTGAGTTGTTGATAGCTGTGTTTTAAAACACGGCTTGGTGAGTGTATCCGTTTCCCTTACCACTGCAGACAAACTCTCGTTTTTGGACCTCGGCTACATTGTGTCCCCGGAGGTGGGACGGCCCCATGCACTGAGTGTAGAGGCCAACCCGTGGCCGCTGCCGCAGCCAGTCGGACAGCCAGGCCAGGTGGCAATCACAGTAGAGGTTGTTGGAATGAAGACGACTGCATGGAAGAAAACATGGAAATACTTTTAAATTAGGGAGAACAAACAGAAAAACAACCAACTTGCCCAGCCCCACCCTTCAGCGAGCAACTATGCCAAAGTATTGATAAAAGTTGTTAATGAAGAAGCAATTTTTCATGTCACTCATTGGGCATTAAATGTTAATTAATAAAACTATACAAGCAGCAAAATTAATTTTTATTTGTGGTCTAATTAATTGCAAAAAAAAAAAAAGAAGGCTACCTAATAAAGACACCTATCTGTAATTTGTCTAAAAGAAAGAAGTAAATACACAGGAGCTTGAAAAATGCCGTGGGACTGTAGTCCAAATAATGAATAACACAAAAATCTCTCAACTAAATTGCCCTATGTTGATAATATACTGCCAGAAAAAAATAGTTAATAAAAGATTTGGTTTCCAATTAGATATATCTGTAAGTCTAGCCATTATAATTCTCTATAGAAACAGCCTACAAAATCCCTTTAACAGGTCAGATTCATTTTCTGCCGAACAAGACAGAGTAATAACTCAATATAAACTACCTTCTTTCACATCCCTTTCGGATTTCCTCTCTTTTTGTTTAATTACAGAAAAGGGGATTAGCTGCTTTTGGCTCCTAGCGACCTATGTTCTAAGCAATGCCTGAAATTAAAAGACCAAATGGCAGCAAGCAATGAAATTAAGTAAGTCGCCTCTCTGTTGGCAGGGTCCAATGCAAGACCATGGCTCCTTGCCAAGTGGCAAAAAGCACTTTGCCATTGATAAAATATCAGACAAATGTATTCACTGAATTAGGCAAATTACTTTCCTCTGGCTCTTACATTTTCTCAAACTACAGAAAAGGATGTCCATGGCTATAAATCAAATCCTTACTCAGAATCATCTGTAACTGAGTAATGACGTTTTGGTCCTCTTTAGCTGATGTACTTAATCCTAACTATATAACTGGAAAGAAAGTGCAAGAAAACCAGAATTTAGACAAGGGGGTGTAATTAATCCATTAAAAAAAATTAAACCTCTAAAGCAACATGAAATGTGCAACCAACATAAAAAGATTATTTTTATAACTCATATCCCCCCCCCAAATTAGAAAATTAAAGAAATTGAAGGCAATGTATTTTCCTGTACTAATTCTTGGGTGGGTGCTTTGTAAATATAGCTCACAATACAGCACACTCATTCAGTACAATCTGTGGCCAGCTGTAGTCAAGAACACCATTGCAAATTAGAACTATTGCTGCTGAAATCAATCCCGTTATACAAGTATATTCTGACTGCAAATAGGATGTTGCAGCTATAATCTAGGAGTCTGTACGTCCATTTTCTTTTGTTTCCAAAATAAATTTTCAAAATATGAACTATCCCACCAAAAAAGTGTAAATGTTGCTAATTTGATTCACTGTGCTTTGTAGTTCAGAATAGAAACTATTTGAAGGTTTGAAAGAGGTACAGACGTTCATGTTTTCAACTCCCAGACCTGAAAGAATGGAATTAAATTCTATTACCAAACTATAACTGAGGCCAGCAAAAGCCCACGGTCATCAGTTTTTAAGTACTCTTGTATTTATCCAAGCAAGAATAGTTACAATTCTGTTACAAAATCAACAGAAATATTCACCTGCATGAAGGTTCTTCAGTTATAAAAGGTATGTTAACTTGAGTGAATAGCCCTACTGATTTCAAAACAGCTCTGCAGCCCAACATGTGTGAATGGAAATGGACAGGCTCTTTGTAAAAGAAGTTTTTTAATAGCAAGAGCTACTCTTGAACTCTGATAGAAACATCCCATTCATTTTTGATTCCAGCTTCAGTGGAAAATCTGTTTGAAAGAGTCTCAGGAATAAACCTTGATATATTCTGGTTTTGCTACTCAATATAATATACATTCATTTTTAGTTCAGTATAAACATACAAAAGAAATAACTGCAAACTGTGTCACTTGCACATTCACTCTTTTCACTGTGATTTGTTTCAGAGGCCTGAAGTCTTCTGTGAAAGTCAAAACCTCTAAAAATGGGGACCTTATTGTAAATGCTGACACAACTTTAATTATAATAGCACTACCGGATGATGCTATAATTTTATGTTACAAAGAATGTTGGAGAGCCAGTTTAGTTTAATTAGGTCTGCTAGCAGTACAGTAATAAAAGCATAAAGATTTCACATTTATCACATCTGACAGCCAATCAAAGATTCTTCCATGTTCCTAAATGAAATGTGACCCCTTCAATAGCTCAAAGTAAAACAAATCTTTGACTTTCAAAAAACATCAATTTCGTTCTCTATACAGCTGTAACATATAAAAGCAAATCCCCCCTGCCCTCATGTTTTTTGCTAGAAGGTGAACTTTTCTGTGACTGAATATAGCACTAAGGAAAACCCAGCTAGGAAAAGGCCATGAAACCATTCTCATAGACTTACTCACCCTACAGCCTAAAAAAAGGAGATGGAAAAGGATGCAACTACTTCTTTATCTCCTGAGCCCTGAGTATCAGCCTTGCGGTCAGTTGTTAGCTTTACCTTTCAGAATTAGCTGCCATATATGCACACACAGACTTCATGCTCGCCATCCTCATGATACTCTGATATTTTTTTAATTGAGATTATGCTTTCTATGTCTGTATATGTATTTATAGACCACTGACAAAACTTGATAGAGGTAAAAACAATATAACAGAGTGATAAAAATGTCAGCCAGTTTCAGTGGGGCTACTTACAATGTTCTGAGTTTGGGCATATGGTTGAAACTTGCCACGGACAGTCGAGTAATGTTGTTATTGTTGAGAGTGCTGCAAAGTCAAGAAGAAGCATGTTACAGGTATGTCACATTTACTACACTTTTAAAAAAGACATAGCGAATGAAGATGATGGTGAGCTGTTTTTACGGATGAATATCAGGAAAAAAATCATGTTTTCAGATATACTTTTTCTCCCTGTTCAATCTCTAGTAAAACACTATGGTTTGATCATTCCATTAATAATCTTAAGTAATTTGAGGTCCTAGTAACCTATGATTCCACCAATGTTGAGAACATTTATGGCATTGAAATAAAGCTTGTCAATGTGATGTAAAAATTGAATTCTTGAAGAAAATGCCTTTATTCTAGGACTCTTGCTTCTCTTTCTGTTTTTTTCAAAACCTGTATTTTTTTTTGACAGAAGACAAAGTAAAAGCCGGTATTTTCAAGAATTTTAGGAAAAAGATTAACTCTGGGCTGAAATTAGGTTTCATATGGAACAGAGTTGCTATAGATGATCCAGAGTTGGATCATAGAGGGGTTTCTGCTATACAGTGAAAGGAATTGGGGATTTCAATACTTTAGCAAACTAATAATTTGAATTTTAGGCAAGATGCCTGAACTGGAGACAAGAACTAGGAACAAATCTTAAGCCAATTGTTAGCTAGCACACACCCATCACACTTGGTAAGTATAATATGTAAAGATAGCAAAACTTTAGGAATGATACTGTAGTTTAATACTGTATTTAGGCTGCAAATAAAATGCACACAAGCTTGACTCCAGAACAAGGAAGCAAACGATTTACTGTTTTGACTTAGAGATTACTCATTTGAACAGAATGGAGAATGTGCTCTGGGAATTCAAACACATAACTATGGCATTAATAATTCCCACTGACCATACCTTTTTTCCCCTTTTGAAACAAGAAGTGTTTTATTTTTTTCATTTTTTTATTTCTTTCTTTAAAAAATACCCCAAAACCCACAAAGTGTAATTTCTGTTTGAGTAAATTTTTAAGTACACAGAAAGGTAAATTCACAGCACCCCGAACAGGATCAGGCTATACACCTCCATATTAATCAAGCAATTAATTACTGGTGCAATGTGCTGTGTTTTACCTTTGTGTCCTACTCATTCTCCCTTATGTGCTCTTAGGGCTTTATAAACAGAAGAAGAAACTAAAAAAGAAAAAAAATGGTGAATCATGCCCTTTTTCAAAACAAAAATGAAACAAAAACCAGCCAAGTGGGTATATCCACAAAATGTGTCTTAATGAATAAACAACAATCAGGAAATCTTGGCATGATTTTCTTACAGTTTCTTAATAATTTTCTTACAATGTCCAAATGGTAAGTGAGAGCTCCCATAGTTCTTCCTGCATAACTTCTGCAAATGTTTTAAAATCATATCCTTTCAATGAAGGGAATGGAAATCAGTATGTATTTCCAAAGCAGTTAGCTGTTCACAGGTGTATCTACAAATGTTTTAATTTTCAATTTCAGATGTTTGTTGTTTGCCTTGCTATGCTGTATACACAAGCTATGAATTTATTTTTGCAAGTGTACAGAAAAGTATTAGAAGTAGACAAAAGGAATACATAAGGAATTAAATAATTTTCATAACCATATCTAATGATGAGAACACTTGATTTCATTACAGAGATGCAATTTTAAAAAGTTGGCTCAATACTTCTACCTACACATTACACATGTAGGTAATAGAGCGGGGTGCATGAAAGAAATTTTATTTCTTAGATACATGATTGCTTTTTAATATTGTCAGCACTATACATTTTCCCATAGTCTGTTTCCCCACTAAAGCTGATTTTCTCTTAACAACTAAAAGAAAGAGGAAAAGGAAAAATGAAATTTTTTGCAGAAACTCACAGGAAGGGTTATACCTGTAATTGCTTTCTTCTTTCAGAACTGTCCAGATTTCAGGTTGATTTTGTATCTTTAACACTAACAGAACTAAGATTCTGCAATTATTTAACCAATACATAAGACCTGTTTACTTTGGTAAACAATTCAAACTGTCACTACACAGGTTTACAACCTACATAAAAGCTTTCTCCTATGCTTGCAGTTTGAAATAATATACATATTCTGTGCTTAGATAGAATAATGAACTCTAAATGAAAGCAAAAGATGTGATCTCATTTCCTACTCAGTGCATATACAGTATGGTCTGATCTACATACCTTTTATTCTTTAAACCAAATGGGAAACAAAACTGAATTAGATACAAAATCTTCAATACTTTTCAAAATATCCATGATTTTTTTTTTAATAATCATTGTTTATCGCATAATTCAATATAGTGTACATTTAGTTGTATATCTGAACAATGCTAATGTTCTATGCATATTCATTCATACAATTCTAACTACCTACTTTTCCAGTACCCTATTATTTTAACAGTTTTTTCCCTTTTTTGCATCCATTGAAACAGATGTGAAAATTCTACCACTGACTTCAACTGGCTAGGATGACCATTTTAGAACACTAAAAACCACCAAAAGATGCACATTTTTTAAAAAAAGATATATTTAACACTTTCATTTGTAAAGACTTGTATTAAAAATCATAATAACCAGATTAGTTATTCTGTCACATACATGAGTTCCAAAGATAAAATCTCACAGAACATCAGGTTTACTGACAGAAAACCAACACTTCACCAACTTCACTATTTGATGTAATATTAAATCAACACCAAATTTTACATCTCTTCATACCAGAAAGCTAACAACAGGCTTGTTATTCTATGATTAAAAAAAAAAAGAAAGAAAAAAAAAGAAAAGAAATCAAATTTAGCTGCCAGATTCATTCACTCATAAGTAAGACCAGCTATTGCTTAATAAAAAGTTTTATCACCAGCAGCTCACATATTCAATAATTTCATGGACATGCAGACACTATCTACTGCCAGAGAACCTCCTTTAACTCTGAATCTTAAAAAAAAGATATACATACATACAAAACATATACAGGAACCCTCCCCCCCTTCAAGTTGTGATTTACCAACTGTGATTCAAACTAACACGAAGTAACCCAGTGATACACAAAGTCTTTCACTTCTCTTAATGTAGAAAGCCCAGAAAAAAAGTGACTGACACTGCAAATACTTCAGGAATGTGGCCAGTGCCTCAGTTCTCACAGAATCTGCTCATTACAATAATTATTTTCAGGTCTGGGGTCAGTGATGATAATTTTGCTACCTTTAACCTCACTGATGGCCACTTTGAGATAGTGAGGAAAAATATGCAAAAGAGTATTGCAGTACTAACCTTCAGTGATATAAAAATTGTATTTTTCTATACATCTAAACATTTATATACATTTAAAACATTAAAAAAGCAGTTAATGTGAACACGCAAAACATCATAACACTTAACAGTGTTTGACAGAAAACTGTCTCTTTGAAAACATCCAGATTGTCAAATATGAAGCATATTGTTCCTGCAACAGAGTCTGAAAGATCAAATCAGTGTCATACTATACAACAAAGGCAATTGTGAAAATGCTCATCAATTCAACAGTGATGGATAATTTACAAAATTAATTGGATTCATTAATACTGCCCCCCATTTTAAAAGGAAATATATTATTTTCTTACAGTATTTGCCATCTGCTTTTTAATTTTGTTTGGTTTTAACTGTGCTTAATGGCCGTCTTACAGAGTAAAGAAGCATCTCTACCTCTTCACATTTTTTTACTATTTTATAGCACATTGCAGTGGATTATTTTAAGACATCTTTTCACTAGACCATCCTGACACCAGGCTGAAGCTCGTAGATAAGATTTTACATTAGTAATCCCCAGATATTGAGCTCTTGCTACAAGTAAGATACACAAGGAATACTCACAGCACTTCCAGGTCACGCAGAGCCCTGAATGCCCCATCTTCAATACAGTTGATCTGGTTGTAATCCAGTTGCCTGTTAAATAGATTAGGAAGGTATTTGTAAGGAAGATGAGCGTTGGCAGTATTCAGTGCACAGAAAGCCTCCTGAAGTGCCAGCAGAGCTAAGGCCATACTCGCTGAAATGCACTTGCAAATACGATCGTACGCTTGAGACTGTCACACAGCATGCTGGCCTGGATGCTGCCACAGAAATCCCTTTTTGTTCTGAACTGTCTGCGCAAAACAGTCGTGCTGGGAAAGCTCCAGTAAATAATAATTGCACCTTATATTAAATGCCAAAGGAATGCAATTTCATTACATCAAGAAAAGCTATCCATTAAAAGCTCTGAGCGTCATCTTGCTGAAACAATTTCATTAAGGTAAAGGATGGTAAATCACTTAATGTCACACACATACCCTCGGTGACCTAACAGAATCCATTTATCAGAGCAGCCCAGCTGCATGTTAATTCCGCCTGCCGCGGCAGGGACCTGCGAGAGACACCAGTTTTAGGGGTCTGTGTGTGTGTGTGTGTGTGCCAGGACCAGGTGGGAGGTGCAGGGGGGGTTGGATGGGAATTCAGGAGAATTACTTTCTAAAATATTTTCTATATTGAGAAATAACAGCGTCCAAGGCATCATCATAATTGGTTACTTATATCCTATAATTACGCTCCAAATGAAACTAGTGTTTCTGCTGTAAACTTCTGTATGTGTTTTTCTACATACTTTTTGCTCTCTGTCATTATATGCAGATAGGACGTTGTAATGGAGCACTTGAATTCTGGATATTAAACTCAGCAATCCATCCCATACATTATTAATCTTTAAGTATCAAGTTATGAAAAATTTACATTAATTTCTCTGAAGAATATTATTACCTTTTCAATTCAAAACATTAATACAGTACATATTATCCAATTTAAAAAGTCTTCTGTAATTAACTACTATGCAAATATAAAATCCAAGTTTCTCTGCTGATAAAAGCTTTTTGCTTTTACTGTCACACATCTTACACATTTCAGGGCACGACTTGCAAAGCAAAGATGATACAACCTCACTTTAAACAAGCAGCAGATCTCCAAGTCTGTAACTTGTCAGTGTCAGAAAAATATATGAGTAAATGTATATGAACAGTATTAAGAAAATGAACAAAATACAAATGAACTCTGCCCTTCTGTCTTCAATTATATATTAGCTAGCAGTGCTAATGAGGCTTTTACTAAAGCAGTTTATGTGATTCTTCTGAATCTATGATAACATTTTACTTTATTAATAAATCATCACACCCACTGTCAAATGCAGTATACCAACTTCTATAAAGTTTTAGTTTCACCCATATTTTTCATCTGAATTACTACTACAGAGGAATAAAATATTGTCCTAACTGTAACAGTGTCTGTGTTTCTGCGTACTGAAAGCTAAATGCAAACTATCATTTCCTGGATATGATCTTTAATCATTTTGGTGCAATGTTACAGCACAAGTGTTTCAGTGTTGGAATATAATATAATAATATAAGCCTACAGTCTCAGGCTCCTTCAATTTTTACTAATGAATTTCATTTAACAATTAAGTTAATAGCCTTTTTATTTTAAAAAGGTAAAATATATAGATAGTACAATTCTCCAACCTCTTGAACAATTTATCAAACCTATTTAAATTAGTACAATGGCATGAAATGCTAGCCTTGACACAATACAAAGAGAAATTGTTTCCAGACAAATTGGAGAAATCTTCTAATGCCATCAAATTTGCCTAATGCAGTCTGCAGGTTAATCTGTAAAAGGGTGAGCTGTATGTTTGCCCATATCTTATTATCCTTAGCTGTCAATGTATAAATCAGTGCTGACACAGCTTCCTCTAAATCATCCATATTATATACACAAAGGAAAATCTTTTAACAGTAGAGAAAGCACTTGAGCAAATTTTGTCCTACACAAACTGAAAGGCAGATCTCTTCCACTAGACTGGCAGCAGTTGTGGTGCACTTAAAAACTTTTGGACTTCTTCCTTCAGTGACCTTCCATGACCACTACCTTAGTGAAAGGTGAGTTGTTTTCATTTAAATCTTCTTACCAGAGAGATTACTTTATTTGCACTGAACTAATGAGTTCGTTTCATTTTGGGAGAAGGGAAATTTGCAGGTGGAACAAGATAAATTTTTCCTATTTTTATAAATTGCTATCTTTGAAAGATACCACTGTCTTTATGTTTTAGATGATCTTCCATCAATTATGACCATAATATAAAACCGTTACACACATGCCATTAAGAACAATCGGCATGTTCTTTATTTCGAAGATATGAAAGGTACACAGCTTTGAAGACCATGTGCATGGCTGAATAGCAATTTATGGTATTTATGTAAAGATATCCACTGCATATATAAAAAGTTAGACAATATTTCGAAAAGAGCATATCATTAGCTTATGATGACCCACTAATGCTGAAGCAGACTGAATTTTTTTGGAGCAGATAGCAAGTTCCTGATAGCAAGTTGTGTGAGTGCTATGACTTAAGACACAAGCAAGAATACTAGACAAAAAAAAGCATATACTAAGTTATTTTTTATAATTTGTTTTTTGCATAATTTCATAACTTTCAAAACCACACATAAAAATCTACAATAATATAATGAAACTTTTCCCACCACTAAATCATTGAGCATATCAAAAATCCTAACTCAATTTTAGAAAGCTTTTTTTCCCCCTAAGAGTTCTTTTCTTCCTTTCAAATTACTAAAACACCCTGAGAACAGAAACTGACCAGGAATGGACTAGCAACTCTGGCGCATGCTTATCATTCCCCTCTCCCCAGGTCTCTCTTCATCAGTTTCCCTCCTGCCCCATCTCTGTCTTGGGTCTTTTCTGTGTGGGGTCTCTCCATCCTTTGGAAAAATCACTGTTCTTTCCTGGCCTTCCCTTTCACAAAGTGGCTGATTACCTTCAGCAGTTCCATTCCCATGAGCCTCATAAAGTACTAAGCAACAGCTGCAACATTGAGAATCCTTCCATTGCCTCAGAGAATTAATTAGGTTTTGCACCCCCATCTGCAACATTACGTGGGTATTTCATATACTGACTAATCTACAGCTATTTCAAATATTAATGTTTCTGTGAGTTCAGCCATAAGAACTAGTAAGAACTAAATAAAAAGCATTAAACTAATAAAAAAGTCTGCTTTAAAATGTTTATGTATTTATTGGTGATACACTGTAGAAACATGTTGCTAACTTATATTTTCCTCCCTTTTAGCATATGTTGTCTACCAGATAACCTAATAATAAACCTTGTTATCTCACGAGAAGGGTATTTAATGGCTAACAAAAGGTGTTGCATACACATACAGAAAAAACCCTGCTATCTGACTCTGACAGAGAAAACCTTCTTTACTCATTCCTAGAGGCTGTGTTAAAAGCTGGGACAATTTCAGTCAATCTGTCTGTTTCACTCTCCTGCTCTTCATGGCTTGAGGACACTTTGTGGTCCCATGCAAGAGAGTTACCATGCAGCTTTACACCTTTCCATTGTTCAGAGATTCTTCTTGTGTAGCAACTTAATGCTAAACATTGTTTAAGAAGACATCAGAAAAAGTCAGAAGCCTTTCTAGATCCCTATGGTAACTTCCTCCCCAGTAAAACATTTAGAAATTGTTTCTAGTTTTACACTGTACACTGTTTCTAGTTTTACACTGTACACTGGATTTCATACCATTACAATTTTTCCATGGGAAAAGAACAGAGTGCACAATATTTATCACTACATTACAATTTTTGGAAATGCTGTTATCTTGTATTTTTCACAACAGAACTGAGTTCTGCTTCCTATTTCTCAGTTTCAAGAGGAATCAGTGATTTCAGAGGCATTAGATGAGACAGATGTATCAAAATCACATAGTTTACTCTAAGTTTTTATCGAACTTCAGAGAATTGCTTGGTTTCCATGACTATTACTATTTAGTTCGATTAGTCTTTCATTTGGAACTCAAGTGCTTTTTCTCTACTTGCTGTTTATTTTGCCAGTGTTGCTCATTCTGGTCTTCACTAAATTTTCCTTGTAAAAGATTTTGAATAATAATTTTCTAATATATATAATACATCAAATTGTTAACCTGCTTTTATTCCAAAATTAAAAAACAGGACTTGCAAAACTTCTAAGTGAGGCACACTTGCTTATTAAACTAGAAGAAAAATGAGAACATATCTATGGTGCAATTGCTTCACATTCTCAAAATCGTCTAGGACACTACTTGGCTAAACCCACAAGGGTCTTTCAGTGGCAGAATAAAAAAAGTCAAAATAAAGCAGAAGAATGCCATGAAAAAGAGGATGAACACAGAAAGAACAATCTGTAAGTTATATAATGCAAAAATACAATCACATCAGTATGACTTCCCAGAAATAATGCAATTTAGGAATGAGATGACAAACAGTATCATGTCCAATATAATGAGAGAAGCAAATACATTTCTATTCTAGTATGGAAGCCATATTAAGCCCCAAAATCCAAATAATAATTTAGATTTTTTTTTTTTTTTTCATTTCATATATATATACATACACACATGCATACACATATACATATAGAATCACAGAATAGTTAGGTTTGGAAAGGACCTTAAGATCATCAAGTTCCACCCCTCCTGCATTGGACAGGGACGCCTCACACTAAACCATACCACCCAAGCCTCTGTCCAACCTTGAACACTGCCAGGGATGGAACATTCACAACTTCCCTGGGCAACCTATTCCAGTGCCTTGCCACCTTTACAGTAACAAACTTCCTCCTTATATCCAATCTAAACTTCCCCTGTTTAAGTTTGAATTTGTTACCCCTTGTCCTATCACTACAGTCCCTAAGTAAGAGTCCCTCCCCAGCATCCCTATAGGCCCCCTTCAGATACTGGAAGGCTGCTATGGGATCTCCATGCAGCCTTTTTTTCTCCAGGCTGAACAGCCCCAACTTTCTCAGCCTACCTTCATATGTTCTGTTAGAGTGGTTTATTCAAATATTAATTAGAAAATCTTTTTCTG